AGAGAGAGAGAGAGAGAGAGAGAGAGAGAGAGAGAGAGAGAGAGAGAGAGAGAGAGAGAGAGAGAGAGAGAGAGAGAGAGAGATGTTAGCCTGCTAGGACGACCTCGGGATAGAAAACTTCTTGTTCGCTCCCAGGTTCAGCCTTGATGTGTCTGCTCTTGGCCTGATTGGATTTCCTTCCTCCAATAGGATAGTCCCATTCTTGCTGCTGACATGCCCTTTCAGTACCTGGAAACTCACTCGATCCAATTCTGATGACGGCTGTGTTGTGTCAATGGATCGATGAGCATGGTTGTGCCAATTGATGGATGGACACACATACGAAGAACACCACCACACAAACACAAAGAGAGGAAGTTGATAACCAAGAGAGTGGTATGAACTTGTTTGACCAACAGCCAGCCAGCCAGCCACCCAGAACCCACGGCGCAGGAACGACATATGACAGCCTGAGGATATGCGGCAACCACCACCCTGATAGTGGCTGATACTTTCATCTCTTCTCTATACTCTCAAAGAATACAGCGGGTCTCGTGTAACGGTCCCACGTGTCCGATAGCAGCCGGTCCCGCGTTGGGACTGATGGGGTTATTGACAGGCGCTATGAAAACTGGCCGGACTGTGTTAGAGAGGCGGCGTGGGTCGGATGCAGTCACGTGCACAGAGAAGTGGAAAAGTCCCATCCCAGGTTGTTGCATGATTGGTGGGTTCACGTTGCTTCTTTTTTTGTCCTTTTGTGGCATGTCCAAGGAAAATGAGCTAGAGCGAATGACAGAAATCCAAATTGCATAATCACATTGAAAAGCAGATAGTCGATTGTCCAACAGAAAGCAGAATGCACAAATACACACCAATCATGAGCACAGCAAAGAACTCATTTGCCAATGTCAGTCCTGTCTCGCCACCATCAACAAAGTATCCAATGCCACTCTTCCCTCCTGGCGACTGGCGACCAACCACAAACTCACGACACCTATCACCGATATGGTAGTCCAAAATTTCATCGAACAAGATCAAAATGTCGTGGACAATAAGTCACCAATGTCGGAGATACAGAGTCCTAATGTAAACGGTGTCCGATCTGTGGTGCCGCCGAGTATCAACCCCAACAATCTCCAAGTCTAGAATCCGGTAAGTATCACAGCCTCTTACCACCAAAGTCCAACACTGATCTCTGTCCAACTCGTGTCAAGTCTCCAATCTGAAGAAGAAGAAGAAGAAGTCTGAAGAAGAAGAAGTCTGAAGAAGAAGAAGAAGAAGTCTGAAGAAGAAGAAGAAGAAGTATGAAGAAGAAGAAGAAGATGGAGATGGAGAAGAGGAAGATGGAGATAGCGGAGGAGGAGGGAGAGATGGTGAGGTAGGGAGGAGGAGAATCCTCACTGCCCTGTCCTAAGCCTTACCTGCAGGGTGCAAGACGGCGTTGCAATGACTTGCTGATTTCTACTGCCGAGATTGACTGCGAGGCTGTACACTAACCGGTAGGTTAGATTTGTAATTTTGTTTGGCTGAGGGCTAACCGAGAGACCTGCCTGTAGGGAAATTCGTGAGGGACAGATCTGCAAATCTGGGAAAATACAGGCCCAGTACTAACCCGAATTCCTACAGCTACCCTAACTGCCTATAGCAGGCCCGGGCTACCCCTAGGACAGACAGGCCCTAAGCGGCCTATGCTGCTAGACGGTCCTATAGCCTATAGCCGGGTCCGGTAGAGGCCGAGAGGCCGAAACAGCAACGGTACCGGTCGGTCAGTCAGTCCGGTCTAGTTCTAGAGAGTCTATAGATAGGTTAGGCCCATCGGTTCAGGACTTTTGGCAGTTCATTTCTCGCGAAGCAGCATTGGAGAAGCCAAGCAAGTTGGTGGCGGTGCTGGTCTACAAGCGGCATCCTGAGACGCACCGTGACAGCAGCCATAGCCGGCCCTCTCTGAGTCTGCCATAGCTGGGGCATCCTCAGCGCATCTACCCCTGGGAGTATCTGCGTATGGCCGGGCTATATCGGGGCTCTACACTGTGTACTCGTGGGTGGTGGCAGCCATAGCTGCCTATTCCTTCGTCAGAGTTGTCCATCGACACTGAAGACTTCATCGCAGGACCTGTTCTTCATCAGGGTGGTTGGCGCTGGCCTCAAGGAGGCTGTTCTGATGCAGCGCTACTAACTGGGTGAAGGATAGAGAGTGGGGTGTGAGTTCTGAGGGTGGCGAGGTACTGGAACAAACTCTGTTACGATAATTGTGTGAGTAGCAGCCCTTCTTGTGCTTCAGTTCAAAGTCAAACATGTCTATGAACTGAATGTACCGTGCCAGCTTGTCATTCAACTCTCCCTGGGACTTCATCCACTGCAGGGTGGAGTGATCTGAAAAGATCTTGAAGTGCCTGCCCAGGAGAAAGTGCTTCCAATGTTTCAGGGCACAGACAAGAGCATACAACTCTTTCTCGTGGGTAGAGCCCTGCAGCTTTTGAGTCTTGATCTTCTTACTCATGAACTCTACAGACCATTCCCATCATCCTACTGAAGAACTGCCCCAATGCCATACTGACTGGCGTCAGTGGTCAGGATAAATGGCAGAGTGGGGTCAGGTAACTTCAGTACAGGCGCACGAGTCAAGGCCTTCTTGAGTCGTGTGAAGGCCAGCTGACAGTGGAGGGACCAAAGAAAGGGAGTGTCCTTCTTTGTTAGGTTAGTCAGGGGGGTGCAGCCACTGCAGAAAAGTTTGTGACAAACTTTCTGTAGTAGGAGGCCAAACCCATGAAGGACCGGACATCCCTCACTGTATGAGGTTGAGGCCACTCCTGAATAGCAGCAGTCTTGGTTGCTTCAGGAGCCAGACCATCTCTAGAGATTACATGACCCAGATAGATGACAGAGGGAACTCCGAAGGAGGACTTCTCTCTGTTGATCTTGTACTGGCTGTCACGTAACGACTGAASAACAAGAGCCAAGTGCTCCGCATGTTCCCTAGCAGTTTTGCTGAATACCACGATATCATCCAGGTAGACAACCATAAACTTGTCCAGGTAAGGTCTGAAGATGTGGTGCATCTCTGTCTGGAAAGTGCCTAGGGCGTTGCAAAGTCCAAATGGCATGGCCAAGAACTCATAAGTCCCATACCTGGTCTTGAAGGCTGTCTTGTAGACATCCTCCTCTGCCATCTCAATCTGGTGGTAGCCAGATTTGAGGTCGACTTTGCTGAACACTGTGCAGCCTTGCACCATGTCCAGGAGGTCATCGATCCTAGGAAGTGGCTCAATACTCTTCCTAGTGATCTTGTTGAGACCCCTGTAGTCAATGCACATTCTGAACTCGCCGTTCCCTTTGGGCACAAGGAGAATAGGTGCACCGAATTCAGAAGTGTTGGGTCTGATCCAGCCCTTGCTGGTCAGGGTCTCAACCTGCTTTCTGAGCTCCTCAAGCTCAGCAGGGGACATCCTGTAGTTGCGGCCCCTGGGAGGGACCGCTCCAGGCAGCAGCTCAATGTGATGCTTGGTTGGCCGGTTGGGTAACCCAAAGGGCTCCTGCATCAGATCAGCATACTGGTCTACCACCTGCTGTATCTCAGGAGGACAGGAAACAGGGGGAGCATCTGTTTGCTTGACCAAAGCAATGAACAGACGCTCATGGTGGTATTGGCGAGAGAGAGCATGGAACTCCCTCGCTCTCAAGCAGTAGCAGGAGGTCTTAGGGTGATGATCAGCAGCAATCATGCATGGCTGATACACACCCTGGCTGTCTGGTAGTTCAACTCTAGGGATTTGCCAGTCGATCCTAGGGTTGACTGCCCTCAACCACTGCATGGAGAACACCAAATCAAAGGGAAGCTCAGGGAAGATATAAAAATTCAGACTGTGTCTGACTTTTCCTGCAGCATCGAAGGTCATCGGGATGCCCTTGACCTTCTCCCTGATGCTGAGTACTGTAGAGTCTCCAATTCGCACCAGCAGCGGTTGCTGCAGCTGCTGAACTTTCATGCCCAGGTGCAGCTTTTTAACTGCACTGGAAGACATGAAGTTCCTGGTGGCCCCGCAGTCCAATAGCCCAGTGATCCTGGTGCTGTTGATCAGTGGCCGAAGCGTGATGAGATCCGTCTTGCTTTTCTTTTGTTCCTTCAGATGAAGGACGAAGGCAGCAATAGACTGGAGCTCATCCTGCCCCGGGTCCTGATCCGGGTCAGGATCCTCATAGCAGAAGGATGCTGCCCGCGCAGTCCCCAAACACACATCATCACAACTAGTCTCAACTGAAACAGCTGCAGATTCACCTACCTGAGTAGATGAAGATGCAGCACTGGGGGGAACTTCAGTCCCCAGGGTCTGTTTCAATTTTTTGACTGTCCTGGGCCTGGCATGTAAGGGCAGTCCCTTAAAAAGTGCTGGCCCTCACACCTCAGGCAAACCCCTCTCTCCTTTCTTCTTCTCCAGACTCCCTCCTGGATCTTGAGGTCATGCCAGGGGAGTGTGGAGGGATTGAGAGGTTCAGCTGGCATGTGGACGTCTCTGGGCAGGTTAGGGCGCTGGGAAGAGGAAGGCCGACGTCCCTTTTCCTTCCCCTTGGCACTGGCTAAGGCTGTGGTGGGGGAGAACGTTTTCTGCAGCTGCAGAGCCCCCAAAACAGCCCGAGTCACGACTGCTGCAACATCTGTCTCAGTAGCAGCTCCAGTCCCGGCTGAAGGTGTATCAGCCTGGGAATCTGAATCTGATCCTGAGGCAGACCCTGCATGGGTGAAGGCTGCCTTTCCCTTTCTACCACCTCGAGGGAAGGCACCTTTCCTCCTCTCAGAGGATGGGGCCTGGACATGGAGCTTGGCCTCCATTTCCAGGGCTGCACGACCAAAGGACCTCCAGTCCTTGTGCCCAGCGCAGTAAAGAGCAACAACAAACTTCTCAGGTGCTGCCCTGCAGAAGTTGGTCAGCAAATCATCCGGGCTCATGACCAACCCAGGGGTGGAGGTGAGTTGCTCAAAATCAACAAACAAGGCCTGCAAAGTCCCGCTGTACCGCTGCTGTCCCAGGCGAGCAATCCTGTCAGCGGCCTTGCGGGCCCGCTCCTTGTCTGCAAATCGGTCCTCCAGGGCCTGCAGAAGCTTGTCTACCCCCAACCCAAAAGCCCAGTCCTCCATGGACTGTTGCAGGCTGCTGGAAGTTGAAGTGGCCCACTTCAGTGCGGGTCCCTCCAGCAGTCCCAAAACAGTCGCCACCTTGGTCTGTTCTGCACAGACGAAGCCCCTCAAGTAGGCTCGGGTCCCAGCAGCCCAGTCCCCAACATCAATCTTGGGGTCATCACCCCTAAACTTGTTGGGAGCAGGGATCTTGGGACCTCTCTGGTCTCCTGCAGTAACAGCAACATAGGTGGCCTTTGCTGAGGCCTTTTGGGAAGGGGTAGATGACCGGGAAGAATGTACCGAACCAGCATGGGATGCAGGACATTGCAGGTGGTGAGGGAGGGGATGAAGGAGGAGGAGAAGATTTGGGTTTCGGCAGAGGGAGCTGAGGGGCAATCAGCTTGGCGTCTGCCAACTGAGCAGTCAAGGTCTGGATAGAATCCAAGATCTTAGACTGCTGAGATGACAGAGCGTCAACCCGACGCTCCAGTTGCACAAAGCGATCGTCCCAGTTGGTGAACTGGGCGCTGGTGATCTTGTGCTCTAGCAAGATCATTTCCGTTGTGTGCTTCGTGATCTGAGCACAACGGTCATCTGTCAGCGACTTCTCTAGCTGCTGCAACAGATATTCTCTTCTGGAATGATCTGTTGCAGCCTCTAGCTCAGCTGCCTCCTGCTGTTCCACTTCTGCAAGTCTGGCCTGTTGCTGCCGCAGCTGTTCTTCCAGCTCCTTCTTCAACCGCTGAGTAGCAGTCAGAGGTGGAGGAGGAGGAATGGAGGTTGAAGGTTGTTCGCCTTCTACCTTCATCACCACCCCCACCTGTGGCTGCTGCTTTGTCCCCTGCTCAAAAATTTTCCCAGTTCAAAACAAAAACCAAAAATAAAATAAACAGCCACCTGAGCTGCAGCGATAAACAGATTCCTGCAGACACACTGGAATCGCTGCAACACTCAGACACTGGAGTAGGTGGGTGAATAGGCAATCAGCGGGTTGGGTTAGAAGGGTGTCTCTGGGGTCAGGTGTCAGACAGACTGTAAGTCCAGCAAAATCAATCACACGATTTCCTTTTACTGACCCTGGACCACACTGGAGTTAGTGATGTCACTCCACTACTTTTCCAGAGACCCACTAGAATTTTCAGTGCCCACTAGAAAGGAAGTGTCATCAGTGAGAATGATGGAATATGGTTAGTACAGACAGGAGAGATCAATCACCACAAGCGATGCAGACAGTTACCCTGTATCCTGACTCAGACTCAATTTTAGACCCTGATGACTCTGACGGCCATACCCTAGGGTATGGCGAATTACAGTTTTCACTGTATCCAGTGAAATACTGCAAATCCAACTCTGCAATTCTACAGTATAGTCTATTTTTGGATTGCGATTCACTGGGGGCTGACAGAATTGAATTCTAACGGACAGAATTGAATTGAAGTTATGACTGACCCTAGGTAGCACAGGCTAAAAATAGACTCAGCGCAAACAACAATCCACAGTACCACTACCTTTCCAGTACAAATTCATTGTTTGAGCATCCCAGATCACTCGCAATGCAGTATAGCAGTCACAAAACCAATTTGGATCAGAGAGAGTCAACAGAGGATGAGATATGAGCAGAGAGAGGTAGGGGAGAGATGGCTATGGCCGTCATGCAGTCTGCGATTTTCATATCCAGTCACTGGCAGACAGATAGACCATTACCTTTCACTAAACTACTACAGGTAGGTGCATGGAACGGACTCACTTTCGAAGAATCTTGCAGGTGATGATGAAGATCTGGCTATGGCTGATGATACCCTGATCTCGCCAATTTCCTCCAGATATTCCTCCTGACAATCCCACGCACAGAACCTCCTCAAATTCGTTGATCCTCCTCAGGATCCTGTAGCGCTGCACTCCCTCAACCCAGATACACTGTATCTGTTCCTGTGGCCCCCAGTATGCCAACTTCAAAATATCTTGCCACAGTACCTGGTAGCTGCTGATGCTAAAAATAGCCCCAGATGGGGTTATTTCTTCTGGAGATTGATACAGTGTGTCAATCTCCTTCAGCGCAACTCAGGGATGATGCCGCTCAGGGTTCCCTGATGTCCTCAGGGGTAATTCGCCACTCTGGGGTAATTCGCAATATCACCCTCAGGGCGACCGGGTGCCAACCATCCGTGTGGCATTGTTCCAATACCGCACCAATACCGTACACGGAAGCGTCCGTAGTCGCTTGGGTGGGTAGGGTGGGATCATAGATACGGAGGGCCGGTGCGTCTTGCATCGCTGCCTTCAACGTATTCAACGCGCCACGAGCTGCGTCGTTGAACTCGAATGGTACCTTCAGGGACTGAAGTCTCGACAAAGGAGCTGCCACTTTGGAGTAAGACTCGACGAAGCGCTGATAATATCCAGCCAAACCCATGAAAGAGCGTACGTCCGTCGTGCAACGGGGTTTCGGCCAATCCACGATGGCTTGGATCTTGTCCGCTAAGGGACGAATGCCTTTCGGCGTCACATAATGGCCCAAGTACTCAAGCTCTTGCTTGGCGAATTCGCACTTGTCGCGGTTTGCTTTGTACTTGGTTGCTCGCAAACGTTCCAACACCACATGGAGGTGTACGAGGTGCTCGTCGAACGTCCTACTATAGACCAAGATATCATCGAGGTAGATGAGGACAGAACGATCGAGCAAGTCTCGGAACTCCGTTGTCATGGCTGCTTGGAAAGTTGTCGGGGCATTGGTGAGTCCAAATGGCATGACGACCCACTCAAAATGCCCATACCGCGTTTTGAAGTCGGTCTTGTACCGATCTTGAGGCTGGATTTCAATCTGGTGGTAAAAAACTTCGAGAAGTACGTCACGCCGCCACCGCTCAAGGAGATCATCAATCCGAGGGAGAGGGCCGACGTTCTTAACGGTTTGTGCGTTAAGTTTTCGATAGTCTATGCACAGCCGTAGGTCCTTGTTCTGCTTCCGGACGAAGAGAACGGGCGCACCGTATGGCGAACAACTAGGGCGAATCCAACCCTTGTCGAGAAGGTCATCGAGTTGTGCGCGAAGCACCTCGAGTTCCTCTTCGCTCATGCGGTAAATGCATCCACGCGAAGGGACGACACCAGCCTCGAGAGTGATCCCGTGACGTATGGGCTGATCCGGAACCGTTCCGGTGGGAGCCTCAAAGACGTCTCCATATCCGTCTAAGAGGTGGGTAATACGTGGGTCCGGGGGTGACGCGGCTGGTCCGTCCGGCGAGGGGAGGGCATGTAAGAAAACAAGGCCCATCTCCTCGACGTCATTCCGAGCTATGGCGTCGCGAATCCTCGCAACAGAAACCACGTGACAAGCAATGAGGGGTCGTGACCGTACATGGGACTAACACTCCGTTCCGATCACGGATGTGAACGGTTCGGTCATGAAAGTTCACCGGATGATCGGCGCTACGCAACCAAGACATGCCTAGAATCATGTCAAACTTGGTGTCGAGGATGTCAAAAGACACCGGCTCGCACGCAAGGGGTGCAAAGTATACCGGGACGCCGTCAATGCATCGGTCAATTGACTTTTGCGTGCGGTCGTCCACGAGTGTAACTTGCATAGGTTGCGTCTTCCTTCGAACGCGCGGGCCATAAAGGCTTGTCTCATGAAGTTGCGAGATGCTCCGCAATCAATAAAGGCACTGCAAGTTGCCTTTCCGATTTGAATGCGGATATAGAGCAAAGGCGCGTCGGTCTCGGCGTACCTTTGAGTGGCATACTCGCGGTCAATCTTCGCAAGATAGGAGCGGAGATCGACAACCGCTACTCCGTCGTCCGTCAACGGAGCTGGTATTGCAACATGCAAATAGGAGCGTAGATTTGCCATCAAGGCGTTACAATGCGGCCTTTGCAAGGTTCCGGTTGAGGGTAGAGGCATCCAAGCGAAATCCTCTCTCGTGAGCGGGTCAAGCTCCTCAAGTCTTGACCACGTCGTCGAGTCCTCGGAATTCAGTGGTGAGCTGACTGGTTCACTCGCCGACGGTGTACAGGCTGCGCATACGCTATCTAAGTGCACGTGGCTAGGCTGGTCTAATGGTGGTACCAGCTGGGCGGCATAATCCTCGTACGTAGCATGAGAATCAGCGACGAACGCATGCTCCCCAGTAGTGATATCGGTTGCTAGCAAGGCAACCGGGTCCGGCGGAGTGAGGAGAGGCGTCGCCCCTCTCCTTGCGTAACTCAGTTTCTTGAGTTAGCTGGATGGGGTACGCGTGCCTTGCCCTTGTCCGAGCATTGGGCGGTAGTGTGGGTAACACTATTGCACCATAGGCAATATCCGTACCGTTGACGCAGGTCAAATACTTCCTTGGTTATGTTGTAGGCCGTCCATGGTTGCTGCCCAGTTCCCGTCAATGTCGTCACTTGTGTCGCCTTGTTCTTCTGAACTCTCTTGGGACGCTTCGGTGGGAGTGCTGCGACAACTCCTCCATCACTCGAGGATGCTGCTGCAGCGTGGAAATCAACTGATTCGTCAGAAATCACGGCATTGTTATGTGTCGGTCGTTGGTAGCCCTGCTTAGCCACATAGTGCGGCTGGGACTGCCGTTCGTTAGCGGCCTTGTCATCCGTTTGGATGACCAGGTTCGCACGATCCAGAATAGCCTGGAATGAGGCATAGTCGTACTCGTTGCCGAGTGCCGACCGCAGTCCTGCGCACGATCGCAAAAAGAATTCGGATTGTTGATTTGGAAAACTCAAGTCGAAGCCTGGAGTGGTTACTATCTTCTGCCACTGGATCGTCCAGTCTCGAGTTGGCATGTTTCCTTGTGAGCTGGTGTAGACCTCGTTCATGGCCCGCCTTTACAACGTTGCGGACCATGAATCGAGTGAACCACAGTTGCTCGAACTCCTTCCACGAAATGTGCGTGTGGAGTTCGGCGATGGTGCATTTCTGATTGGCCGCGAGATGGTTCATCCATGCCTGTGCTCCTCCAATAAGTTGGAGGTAGAGCGCTTTCATCATGTCTTCGGTCGGTATAGTGCGGCAGGATGCTTCGGTGAGGAAGCTTTGCCACCATGTCAAGGCGTCCGTCTTGTTGTAGTCGTCAAACTTGCTGATGTTGAAGTGCGGCATCTTGTATGTCCTTGGAGTGGCGTCCGGTCTCGTCTGCAGTTTGGTGATGTCCGTCTTGACGGCGGCCGCCGTGCTGCTGATCGTGGCCGGACTAGCGAAATCACCTAGTTCGCCAATAATAGTGATGACATGGTCGATGCGCTCCCCGAGCTGCTTCGCCGTGTCTGTCGTGCAGCCTGGCGCTGCTGAGGCCTTAGCCTCAATGTTGTTGATGCGTGCGAGAGTGGAGTTCAACAGCTGATGCTGTTGCTGCTGCTGTGTTGCTGCGGCGCGGACGGCAGCTGTTAAAGCGGCAGTGTCTTGCTGCTGCTTCTGTCTGTGCTGTTGTTCCGTGAGCAGGTGTGCCTGCAGCAGTGTGTTATTCCACATCACTCCCCTCATCATGTGCAACATCAAGTTAGCCAGGTTACTCCTCTCTGCCTCCGCCGGTGTCGGATCCGCCTGCGCGTCCGTAGGCACAAAGATCATGCCTTGGAGTAGCATTGTCCACTGATTCTCATTTTGAATCAGGGACTCTGTGCTGGCGGCATTCCGTTTGTCCCGAGCCGCTGCGTCAGCCTCAGCAGTGCGCTGAGTTTGGGCTGCCGCCTCATTGGCCAGCCGCTGACGTTCTGCCTTCTGCTGCCTCCTGCTGTGCCTTAGCGGTAGCTACGGCATCCGTAAATGCCTGTAGCCGCTGAAGGTAATCAGCCAACGGTTCAAGGGCCCCTTGGACCGGACATGCGGGAAGAGCCCCGGTGGTAACTGGTACTGCAGTTGCTGTACTCGATGCCGCTGGAGTCGTCCGCCTGCTGAGTCGCTGTTGCCGATACTTAGTTCGTGGAGGTACCACAGAGTGGCTACGAACTGCAACCTTGGCACTGCGTCGTGGCAGTGCCCCGGTGTCCTGTTCCGTCGACATCAGCACAAGCTGATGTGGTACTTGAGAAGTCCTGGTGGTCACAGATTTCGGGGAGGGTAGGGAGTGTGGGAACAGGGGTAGAACAGATCAAGCAACTCGCATACAGTCCCTGTCCCAATTATGGACTAGACACCTAATCAAAAAGAAAAAGATAAACTTTCCCCAAAACAACTTAAAAATTCGTAATAAGAAATAATAACGAATTAATAATCAATAAGATTTAATTAATGATTAATGACGAATTAATAATCTCTTAATAATAATCAATAAAACAATAATTGCAATAATGATAATTAAAGAATTTTAAATTGTGAAAAGATTAGGTATCCGTTGAGATCACCTATGGTCCGGGAGTTCACCGTTTATTAGTGAACTACCCGGAAGTTGAAGTTTTGAGGGAACGATTCCAAACAGTTTGCCAAAATCTTTTTTCGGATAGTCAGGAAGGAAATCCCTCGAATCTTCGAAAAACGTAAAATTTCGGGAATTTCAACCTAGAAAAGTCCGATTTTCAAAAGGCCTGAGTCCGTATTCGGAATTTCTCAAATTAGGGAAAGGAAAAAAAAATTTGCAAAATTTTCGGATGCCAACCCTAATTTTCCGCGGTTCCGCGAAATTTCTGGTTTTACAGTTCCAAAACATTCGAATTTCCCAATTTGAACGAAAAACCGAAATTTATCGTAACCATAATTCCAATACCGAAATAAAACAGAATACCAATTTAAAAACCGAAATACCGGATTAAAAACAGAATGCCGAATTAAAACGGAATACCGAATTGAAATCAGAATGCCGAATTAAAACAGAATATTGATTTAAACAGAATAACGAATTAGAATCAGAAGACCGAATTAAAACAGAATATCGGATTAAACAGAATACCAATTAAACAGAATACCAATTAAACGGAATACTGAATTAAACAGAATACTGGATTAAAACAGAATCCCGAATTGAAAGTCAGAATACCGAATTGAAACGGAATGCCGAATTAAAACAGAATACCGAAAAAAAAAATTGCAACTTTGAATCTCGATAGTGATGCAGAACTGATTTGGAAGATCGAATAAGCAATCTATTCCGTAATCAGACTTACCTTGTGAGCAGATCCATTATTTGGTCTGCTCCGATACCAAAACTGTTGCATACCCGTGAATACTTCAACAAGTATGGGCATAACCAAAAGATCAACCAATATAGGATGAGCATGTATGCAGCGGAAGTCTGATAAATGGACTGACTCACATAGACTGACTCATACAGATATCACTCAACACACAAACAATCGTAAAAGGGCCTTTACCCGATATAGGCCTCAGGCCTTGTAAAAATAAAGCAGCACGGGCCTTGAAAAAGTAAAGCATTGTGAAAAGGTATCTCGTCAGAGCTCAGAAACGTGAAAGCAGGTCAAAGGTCAAGTTCTCTATCAACAGGCATATTTAAAACTAAGGCAAAGGGCATTGTCAAAAGACTTACCTGTTCACCAGGAGATGTGTATGTCATGTCTGTTTGGGTAAGGGTGTGTCTGTACGTGCAGGCAGTGTG